GGGTATGCATTTTCCCCATATATCTTACTTCAAACTTCAGGGCAGTCTGCTTCCTTCTTTTTCCAATGATTAATTGGAAGAAACTTTTAGCCACAAGAAATTCGTTCTTCCCCATCATCATAATTTCCATCCCTAACAAACCTTTAGTGAATTCTCAATGTGTTTAAATAGAGAAAGACTCCATCTTCCTGGGATGATTCAAAATTCAGCTTCTGGAGCACAGCTGCTGAAGAGCACAGCCTCGGGCTTCACGGGGTTGGGGAGCAAGGGGGTGCTGGGTGAATCTCAGTAGGCCCAGGGGGAGAAAGAGCTGGAGTTTCTGCAGCCCGTTTCTGATCATCTCTCGATTGACAACTAACTCATAAAGGACTCCCACGTTTGTTGCTGTAATATCAGTAACAACTTCATTGTTTTAATTAAAGTTTCGTGATTAATGTCAGATCCCTGGTTACGTGCTGACAGTTTCCATCATTCATGTCTCTGGGCAGATTAATTTATGACTTTTTAAGTGAGGATAATCAGTGCTTTAGGCAAATAAACTATTCCATCAAATATAAAGATTCTTGCCTGGGCTGATTGTACAAATGGTCTGACTCCCATTAAAAGAGAACCAGATAGAGATACTACGGACTGCTCAATTAATCACAGTCATATCCAGAGGTGACAGTGGATATTAAGCTTATTTTCTTTATTGAAAATATCCCTAACTACATTTTAGACCATATGGAAAATGGGCAGATTTCATCCCGGACCTTATTGATGGTACTTCTGCATGTTCAAAAATGCAAATTACTTCACTCCTGTGGGAGAACCAGTGGCTTCGCGGACCTTATTTTCCTTCCATGGGAGTCTTTTTGAACATTCGGCCACATTGCGTGCATTGTTGGGAAAGGCTGAGGAATACGTACTGTCGCCAAATGATTTTCTTATTGATAAATGGAGCAATATATTTTGTTTTATTACTTAGTTGTCTCTCCCTCTCTTCCATTTTCAAAGCAAAAAAATCAGGTCATGTCTTCCTTTCTGGCACAGGATGAATGGTTTTACTTTATCATAGCCAATCTTATTGCAAATTCATAAAAGCATCTAGAGACTTGATAGTAAATTAAAGATGTTTCAAAACAATAATGTTTCCTGAAAATCACGTGCAACTTTATTGCAGAAGTGATAAGAATTTGAAATTTCTGTATGCTGCTGATTTATTGCCCTATCCTGGGGTGACAGAAAGTGAGTTAAGCAGGTTATCCTGGCCTTTAGCGAAGGGACGGTGTGCAAGAAAATAGTGCTTACTCCCCAGATCTCCAGCTACCACAGTCTTGAGGAGCACGTTTTCTGAAGAGTGTCAGCTGCTGACATAAACAACTCGAAAGCCAGGGCTTTAAGGGACCGACTGCCTGTTGCATTTTTAATCATAGAGGAGTCTAGACCTAAATCTTTCATAACTGACCTCATATTGTAATCCGTTACATGTACTTCATCTCAGCCGGCATAGCTGGCATTATGGTGGCAGCTGTGTAAAATATTTGTTTTGCTTGTTTAGAATTGAATTGTAACGTTCTAAAGCAAGCAATTATTGCTATAGTAGAGGCTGCCAAATTTCCAATTCTTCTACACTTGCCGATGTATCTAAATTATATTTGTTTTGCTTGTTTAGAATTGAATTGTAACGTTCTAAAGCAAGCAATTATTGCTATAGCAGAGGCTGCCAAATTTCCAATTCTTCTACACTTGCCGATGTATCTAAATTGCAGGAGATATTGTTACTCTATGCAGGACAGACAGTACCTCCCCAGTCACAGAAGGAGGACCCTGTTTCTAAATAGCTGCTGAATCTATTTCTCTTGCCTGTCTCGTCAATGTTTGTTGAGTTGTCTAAGACTGTGAGCTTGCTGAGGACAGTCATTTTCGAATTCTCCAGCCCCTACCACGGTGTCTGACACATGAGTAGAACACAGCAATATTTGCTGAAACATTAAAATGCATATTCCATTCCACTCCTCCCCCTTTCCTCCCTCTCTCCCCTCCTCCCATCCCTCGCACTAACCTCTGGGCTTTGCTTTCCAGGCAAAGCAGGAAAAACGCCAGCTCTGTCTCCCAGGATTCATGGGAGCAGAACTACTCCCCTGGGGAAGGCTTCCAGAGTGCCAAGGAGAACCCCAGGTACTCCAGCTACCAGGGCTCCAGGAACGGCTACCTGGGAGGGCACGGCTTCAATGCCAGGGTCATGCTGGAGACCCAGGAGCTCCTTCGCCAGGAGCAGAGGCGGAAAGAGCAGCAGATGAAAAAGCAGCCTCCCCCCGAGGGGCCCAACAACTATGACTCGTATAAGAAAGTCCAGGACCCCAACTACACCCCTGCCAAGGGGCCCTTCCGCCAAGACGTGCCCCCCTCCCCTTCTCAGGTCGCTAGGCTGAGCAGACTTCAGACTCCTGAGAAAGGGAGACCCTTTTATTCCTGAGCACGAGAAGAGCCAATGCGTCACGTCATGCAATAAAGGACATTTTCCTATGAAGACTTGTATTGGGGGAGTTTTTTTAAAACCTCGATGGTACTGTGGAATATTTCTGTTGTCGGTATCAGTGCCTTTAAGCAGTGTGGGCAAAGAAATGGAAGGCCTTAACGTCTTTGCCACTGTGTCTCCAGTGTCTGCTTGACGGAAGGATTCCCCAGCATCTGACAATCATCTGTTGGAGGCTGTCATACGCTCTGCGTCTCTCTGGAGTGCCAGGAATCTAGGCCCAACTCATGAGATGTCCATGGCGCTGTTATTACAACTTGTGGTGACAAATGAACTTGAAGGTGAGGGTGATGTGGATCCCTCNGCGCACTACAGCAGTGCGCCACCGGGCCGGCCCCTCCCCACAGCTTTATGACGTTAGATATTGTGCCTATTTCACAGGCGATGTAACTTGGGTCCAGCGAGCGTGACTCTCCCAGGGTCACACAGCCGGCCAGGGGCAGACTCAGCCCTTGAATCTGCATCTGCTTGATGCTAAGCCACTCTCTCACTGTGCCCTGGCGCCTGGGTGACTAGGTTTGTAGTGCATGAAAGTCTTACTGAGTGCTTTCTTCTCTTGCTCTCTACAGTGGGCTTATTTGGCTTATTTCTCATCCTCTCCATAATCAAGAGTTTATTGCTACCACTTGCTTCCTTACTTAGGAAGTATGTTTATGTGCGGGGGGGTGGGCAGGGTCGGTGAGTGCGTATGTGTCATGTGTGTGTACCTCTGGGTATGCATTTTCCCCATATATCTTACTTCAAACTTCAGGGCAGTCTGCTTCCTTCTTTT